CCTTCAGATGCTCCACTGATACAAGTCAGATGACTGTTTAGCGTTGCAACAACAGACTAAGTCCAGGTAACTCAACTTGGGAGGCAGAAACCCTTGCTGAGCCCATGAGTGATCCCTGCTGGTTCTGTGTCATTTTTGTGCACTTGAGTCCCTGGGTATATACGTGTTCTAACTGCAGGAAACCAAACTTTGAAACAAATAAGAGATGAAGGGAAGGAGGAGGTAGGAACCAACATGTCCTGTTCAAATTATCAATAAGCCGGTCAAGGTAGGCAGCAAGTTTTACAAAGGAGTCAAGTGAGCCTCCAAGAGATTAAATTAATAGAAAGATGCCATCCAGCTGGTGTTGAATTCTCTACTGAATCTTGGTTTCACAATCCCCAAAGCCATTCCCTGCTGTCCCTGAAGCCTCAGCACGGAGAGCTGGCTACTTGGAAGCTGTGACCAGTGCCCCTTTCCCGTCTCCCACCCATTCTGAGAAGGTTTTCTGCAGCTCCCAGAGGCAAGGGACCAGAGAGCAGTTGAGAGCATCACGGAGGCTGCACGGAGTTTGACCTTTCCTGGAACTTGATCACAATTCAGCCCGATGTGGATAGGAGCTTTGGGAAGGGATTTCTCATTTCCCCCAAACAGAAACTTCTCTTCACCCTGACTGTTGAGGCTTTTAAAGTATGGGCATCTAGATGTAAAGAAAAGATATTGGATTTTCATGGAAGGAGAGGGTCTTGGTTTGACCTGAGAAGGTCTTGGTCTGCAAGATCTGCCCTGTGTTTCCTGTGTGATCTACGATGAATCACTTCTTGAATCCAAGTCTTCTCATCTACGAACTGGAAACAAAGGCTCACGGTGAGGATAACTGGCTTCTTGTAAGTTTCCACACTATGAAAAGTAGTCTACAAATGCTCTTACAAGGACAGATGGCCTGAGCAGTACTACATCTTTTAGGTACTAAAATTAAAACTAAGTTGGATTCAAGAGTGCAGGCAAAATAGGACTCAACTGGGGTGAGTCTGCAGCAGTGGGGGGTGGCCCCTGGGGTTCCCCGACCCAAGATACGGCTGCTACGCCAGTGAGGCTAATCTTCTAAGGTCCCTTCATAGCTCCTGACCCCACAGCCCAGGCTCTGAGACCTCAGGTGAGGCCGAGAAGTAGGTAAAGATGGAAGGAAGGACCCCAGAGAAAAGAGCTTGGACCATCAGCTGAGCCCCACCGGCTACATTGTTTATGACCTTAACCTCACAGACCCTAAGCCCAGACCATGCCTGCTGGATCCTCCAAGATATCATCACAGCCCTTCTTCACCATCCTGTGATGGGCTGTCAGAACCTTACTTCTACCTAGAGGCCTAGCAGACATTGTTCTTTCTTTTTCTAAGTATGAGACGAAAGATGCAGCCATTTATATTTGACTTTGAAGATGGTGTCCCTGACCATTGGACCCTTAAAGATGTTGGTGAAATGGCAGGGCCTTGAATCTTCATAAGGCTTATCTCCCACTCTTTAAAATCACAGGCATCTGAATAAGGCTAGCCAGGCTTCCTGACCAGCATACTGCCTCCCAGGTCATGGATTAACCTGACGCCCTGTGGGATGTCCAGATGGCCCGGCTCTCTTCAGACCATCTAGTGAAAGAAAGCACTAGTATTAATACAGCTCTGGGCCCGCTGTGAATACGTATCCATGTGGTGCAAGCTGGTTTTTATCTTCTTCCATGATCTGGATAAAAAAGAGTGCATTCACCAAATTGATGGCTGCATGGCCTGTACCTGAGGCCCTTTTAATCTGCTCCACAGTAACACCACATCGAGTGAAGCATCTTTGATTGAGGCTGACGGTTGGCTGAGCTTGTGGTGTTTGCAGGCGTTCTCCAGGATCCCTCTGGTTGGGCAGGAAGCAAACATCCATCCTAAATGCACATGTGAGAGGGACCATCACCTTTCCATCCTTAAGGCTCTTCTGGGTGGCACTGATTACCACCATCTGCCCGAGGAGGAGATGTTGCTTTTCATTTACTTCCCTGACGGGGGGAGGGTAGGTGAGGAACCAGTTTCAGGGGACTCACTGAGCTTTCCTCACTCTGCTGGCTCTTACCCCATGGGTCAAGACCCAATGTGGGGGCTATTATGTGTGCTGAGTATATCAAACTCAGTTATACATTTAAGGGATGGAGAGATGATGGTCAGGTGTGCCTGCAGACCCAGCAGGTCCAATAGGAGGTGGGGAAAGGCTCTGTATACTACGCGACCCCTATGTCTTCACT